CTTTTGGAGGAGGGGTCCCCCCTGCTGACCCAGGTCAGGATGACAAGGGCCTGGCCTCGAGGGAGTGGAGACAGGGTGAGGGGAGGGATGTTTGTGAGGAAGATTGGAAGGAAGGCTGAGTGAACCAGCCCTGAGAAGGAAACATGGTGTGCCGAGCAGTCTTAAAAGAGGATGCTAAGTCAGTTCGGGGCCCACTGAGCATGAAGTCCTGGGGACACTGATGGGGAAGTGCTGTAGGGCAGGGGTCCCCAACCTCCCGGATCTAATACCTGATGATCTGAGATGGAGATAATGTAACAATATTAGAAATAAAGTGCACAGTAAATGTAATGGGCTTAAATCATCCTGAAACCATCCTCGACCCCCCACCGCAGTCCATGAAAAAGTTGTCTTCCACGAAAACTGTCCCCTGGTGCCCAAAAGGTTGGGGACCACTGCTGTAGGGCATCCTGGGGCCTGTCATGGTATTGATAGCGCAGGTCCTCTGTCCTGAGCCTGTGGTCAGGAGCAGGTCCCCAGAAGAAAGGGACCGCCTTCCTCTGGGAGCCTCACACATGCTTAGTATGGAGCTCTCCCCACTTCCTCTTGAACCCCAGGGATCTATCTGCCTGGGAGTGAGCAAGTGGCGGAAGAGATGTGTGGAGCTGGCCCTTCTCAAATGGGCAGCTCATGGTGACTTAGCGTTTGGGCCCTGAGACAGAGTCCTGCCTCAAGAAAGGAGGCCACGGTCCAGAAGGGTGGTCGGTCCAAGGTGACACAGCCCAGCAGGGACTGGACCCCTCCCAAATGTGCTGTCCTTCTAGCACACTCTGCTGTGTCAGAGCTTGAAATCTTGGGTCTTCCCTGGTGGTCCAGTGGCTAAGACTTCACACTCCCAATGCAGAGGACCTGGGTTCGATCCCTAGTGAGGGAACTAGATCCCACGTGCCACAACTGAGAGCCACGATGCAGCCAAATAGATAAATAAAACATATTTTCAAAAAATTTGATATCTTGGTCTTTCTAGAGGAACAGGGCTCGTCTGCCTTATCCAGTCATGCCCCACCTGCCATGGGCATCTATCTGGCTGTTCGTGTGGAGGAGAGGTCTGGAAGGCAGGAGGTGGACCCCGTGAGCAGCCCTTGATTCCTACCTGCCCAATGTGGTTTCATGTCCCCTCTTCTTTTTGTTCTCACCCTTGCTGTGTGACCTCAGGCAGGTGCCTCAACCCTTCTGTGCTTCCGCTTCCACATCAACAATATAGGGACACTATTAATGTCTACCTCCCAGATTATCATGGGAATTTGATGAGTCAATATTTGCAAAGTGTTTAGAGCAGGGCCCAGCACAAGGTCCAGGCTCCAGGAGAGTTTGAATATCTCAGATACTTGGTCTCGACAATGTGGCATTGCAGGAACAAAGCAGGATGCCAAGTGTTTAGTCTTTGCATTTAGTCTTTTGTCTCTTCCGCAAATATTTCAGAACACCTAGTGGGGATACGGAGATGGATCTGACCTGGTCCTGCCTGCAGGGAGCTTGGAGTCAAACACACTAGCTGGGTCCTTGGATTCGGCCTTATGTTTATATGACCCTGGAAGGAAGTCCACTGCCACGCCCAGGGACTGGTCCGCTGGCGGCACATTGCCAGTGGGCCACAGCATCCCCAGCATGTTCTGTGTACTTCCTCATGGATCCTCCCGGTGGCCCCATGACTGGTGTTATCCTCAGTTGGCAGAGGAGGAAGCAGAGGCACAGGGTCCCACACTGGGCTTGTAGGCCTGGAATTCACAGATGGTCTTCTCCAGTGTTCTAGCCCTTGACCTCAACCCGCCCACCTCTCTGCAAACACATGGTACTTGTATAATCATTTGTATAACAAAAACCCAGACCCCACCAGCCAACAAACATTGCAGTCAGAGGCCCCAGGCCACCTTAGTCGAGTCTTGAAGGCCCTCTTATGCCTTTTCTGAATGCCCCAATGGGGAGTGGTCCTCTTGGTCAGTGTAAGAACTTAGAGGCCAGGAGCCTTTTTCCTTGCCCCTTCCCAAGAGGGCACATGCATCCTCTTGGTGCTGGAAGGGCCTCTGAGGTGCAGCCCTGGCTGTCCCTCACTCTCCATGGCACGTCAGTCAAAGGACACTTTTTCTTGTCCTTGATTACCTCTAGTGACAGCAGGCTCATTCTTCATCATTTAGTTCCTTCTAAAGGAAATTTGGGCTTTTAGGAAGTTCTTCATTAAAATTAAAAAATTACTTTTATATTTTTATTTCCTCTCAAAGTCCTGCAGACAAGTCCACTGTTAGATCATGCACCCCCCGAGACAGGACCTGGCCAGTCCATCTCTGTGTCCCCCTATGGTGACTGGCAGAGGGCTTGCTGCACAGTTGGTGTTGTGAATACTGTTCCGGGGAGCAGATGAGTGGGAGGTATGGTGGTTGGGGCTCAGCTTCCATCAAGCCTGGGGCTGTGGGCAACTGGGTCAGTAGGTCCCACAGGACGGCAACCATATGAGTGCTGCTGGGCATCATGACCTCAAGGGATTGAGTTGCCATAGAAATCCGCTTTCCCAGGCCCATTGGCATGTTGCTCCCCTGGTGATCTTTTGAGCAGGTCTCCCCAGGGCCTTCCCAGCCCCACATTCTCTGAGCTGGTTGGCCTCCAGGGAGCATGCAGGCCACACCCCTATTGTGTAGATAGGCAGCCTGAGTCCCAGAGGGTTAGAGGCACTGGCTAAGGTTCACCTAGGGAGGGGCATCGCACAGCTGGGCTTAGTGCTCAGGGCAAACAGTCTTGCCCGAGGCCCCAGCCAGTCATGGGGACTTCTCCCCATTCATGGGTTCCCAGAGGAATTCTGGACTGATTCCAGGACCTGCTGCATCCCTGAGGGAGTAATTGGAGCTCACGCCACCAGTATGTCCAGAATCACAGTGTCAGTGATAGCTGGTGTGGCAGGGTGATCTAATGTGTTCCCAGCACTCTGCCTTGCCTTCAGTTGTCAGTCATTTCCTGATGAAGAAATGGGGCACACAGAGAAGTCAAGTCATTTGCCTGAGGTCACACAGCCAGTTAGGGGCAGGGCTGGGATCTCCCAAGAGTGGGGAGTCTGGCTTTGGAGCCCACCATGTCATACCCGGCCTCACTCTCTCTCTTGCTTTGAGAAGAATGAAGGATATTTCAGGTCTGGGAAGCACTTAGCACTGGGCCAGAGTCAGAGCCAGATAAATCATGACCCAAGTGTCAGAGTCTTGGCAATTTCTCTTTCTAAAATCGTTATTTATTTTGCTGTGCTGGTTCTTAGTTGTGGCACGAGGACTCTTAGTTGTGGCATGTAGGATCTGAACCTGGGGTCAGATCCCTGACCAGGGATCGAACCCAGGCACCCTGCATTGGGAGCGCAGAGTCTTAGCCACTGACCACCAGGGGAGTTCCTGATTTCTCTTTCTAATCATATCCCCTCAACAGTCCTGAGAAGTCTGCTTTATCCCTACTTTGCAGATGAGGACACTGAGGCCCAGAGAGGGGAAGTGACTTGCCTGGGGTCCCACAGCAGGCAGAGGTGGAGCAGGGCCTCTAGTCCACGACCCCTGACTCCATACCTGGTGTTCGTGCTGTGACCTCAGGCTGCTTCCCAGGTCCTCTGGGATAGCCCCTGCCTTCCACCAGGTGAGGCAATGACCCATCGGGGCTGCCAAGATGAGGGAGCTGTGAGGGGTGGCCATGGTGGGTGGGGAGACCCTGGCCAGGCTTGGTGGGAGTCAGCACCTGTGGGTGGGGACATAGGGAGCAAAAGGGGGTGGTGGGGTGATGGTCATCACTGTGGAGTTTCTTTGTGTTTCCTGGTCTCTAGCCCACCCAGATTCTTGGCTTAGACATCTCCTAACTCTTGAATAGTCACACATTCACTCATTCATTCAGCTGTTTATTGAGCACCTACTATGTGCCACTTCTAGGTACTAGGAGTGCAGCAGTGAGTCTAGACAGACAAAAGCCCATAGAAATAATCATATAATCACACACACACACACACACACACACACACACGGTCATGTGACCCCATGGATTGTAGCCCATCAGGCTCCTCTGTCCATGGAATTTTCCAGGCAAGAATACTAGAGTGGGTAGCCATTCCCTTCTCCAGGGGATCTTCCCAACCCAAGGACATAACCTGGGTCTCCTGCATTTTAGGCAGACTCTTTACTGTCTGAGCCAGCAGGGAAGCCTCATGTTATCAAGAAGAGGCGCAAAAGAAAGGGGACAATGAAAGTAGTTCGGGAGCACATCCCAAGGAGGTGAATTTTTTTTTTTCCTTAAGAGCATTATTGAAGTAAAATTGACATACAGTAAACTGCACATGTTTAAGCTGTGCAGTCTGATAGATTTTGACACATGGGTGCACTCATGAAACCATCTGCATAGTCAAGATAATCCATCACCCCTAAACGTTTCCCTCCCACCCCCCACATGCTGCCTTTGGGCTGAGAATTGAACGACACATGAGTTACTCTGTTGAAATAGTCAAGTAAGAGCATTCAGGTGGAAGGAATAGCATGTGCAAAGGCCCTGGGGCTGGAGTGAGCTATCAGCCATCTCTCCTTCTTCCAGCTGCCTGCTATATCCCTGCCCTGGTTGCAACTTTTAGCACCTCTTTCTTTGGTGTGGGACAATTTCAGCCAATCATGCATTCACTCAACAAACCCTCCCCTCTCCTGGGTGCCTGGAACACACACATGCCTCAGATACTGTCCCTGTCCAGGAGGGATGGACCCAGTGTCCATCCCTGATTATGAGGCATTTCTTCTGTGCTTGACCCTATACCAAGGAAGCCCTTTATGAGTGCCATCACTGTTCCCATTTTGTAGATGGAGTAACTAAGGTTCTGAAAGGTAACTTACCCAAAGATATCTCTTTGGGCCTCAGTTTTCCCATCTGTAGAATGGATGGAGGTGCGGGCTAAGGGGCCCAGGTAGCCCTGTTTGCTCCCAGAGTCCTTCACCGCAGGGTCCTCTCTAGTCTCCAGGACCATGGGCAGCAACAAGAGTAAGCCCAAGGATGCCAGCCAGCGGCGCCGCAGCCTGGAGCCTGCCGAGAACACCCACGGAGGCGGCGGCGGCGGCGGCGGTGGGGGTGCCTTCCCCTCCTCACAGACCCCCAGCAAGCCAGCCTCCTCTGATGGCCACCGTGGCCCCAACGCGGCCTTCGCCCCTGCAGCCGCTGAGCCCAAGCTATTCGGAGGCTTCAACTCCTCGGACACAGTCACCTCCCCGCAGAGAGCGGGGCCCCTGGCTGGTCAGTGTGCCTGGGAGTGTGAGTGCCGGGTGGCCCTGGCCCCTTGGGTTGTGTGCCCTGGAGGGCAGCGATGCCCGCTTTCTGGGCTGCTGTTTCTTTCTCTCAGTGATGGGGAGGAGTCTGGGGGTCACTTGGTCTTAGGGGCTATTGGGAGTTTTTTGGAGGCTTTATAAACCGGAAAGTGTGGTGCACACGCTATTGCCTTTAGGGCTGAATTCTGATGCACAGTATAAAGGGCCCTGGAGGGAAAGGGCTGCAGCTGGAAACTGAGGCCCAGAGAGCCAGGGCCTTCTTGGGGAGACCCCAGGACAAGGTCTGAGGCTTTGCTTTTACGCTGGTTAGCCTGGAGGTGGATCAGGACTGGAGGCAGTGAGTGGCCAAAGGGGCGGGGCAGGTTTTAGAGGGAGCGAGCGAGCTCGGGTCTTTAGAGGCCCAGACCTACGAGATGCGCCCCTGCGCCCTCTGCTGGTACTGAGAGGGTATAGCAGCCCTGGGCGAGTGATGCTTAGTAACAGATGTAGATGTGGTTCTGGAGAGGTAAGACCCTCACACAAACACGGGCATTTCTACCGCGACACCTTCAGACAGACACACACACACAGTCGGCAACTCATTCAGAGACACCCATATAGGACACGTGCACATCTTAGGCTTGAAGACGCCATCGTAAACACAGACACACCAGGGACACAGGAATGGGCACCCTCCAGGCACAGACACACACCCAACGCAGATGCACACAAATACAAACGCACATACGCAGAAACGCCTACTACTCCCAGATGGAGACACAGACATGTGCAGTCAGAGCCCTTCAGAAGTGCACACATGCTCAGCTAGAACCCACGGACTCGCAGATGCACAAACGTGCAGTGAGAACACACAGACACACACCCAGGCGAGATAGATGGACCCACAAACACTGTCATTCATTTGTTCAAGAGACAGTTGTGGCGCCCCTCCTGTGTGCCAGGTCCCTTCTGGTGTCAGGAACACAAGCAAGGTGTAAAACAGAAAAAACCCTCCTGGGGAGGAGATGCGAAGAGCGAGTTGTGTAAAGTGGGCAGTGTGTTTGTGGGTGGTAACTGCTCTGAAAGAACACGGAGGACAGGCAGGGGCATTGGGGGATGTGTGGGCGGAGGCTGTGACTTAAAATGGGGCACAGAGAGGACTTCAGGAGGGACAGTCACCTGCAGCCAGGATCTTCCCTGACGGCCCGAAGCACCCAGAGTCACACAGAGAGTAACAGAAGCACCTCCCCGGGAGCAGTTCCCCCCATTCACTGCTTCATTCACCCCATGGTTGTTTCTTGAACACCTGCTACGCGCCAGACTCTAGGAACAAAATAAAGATGCCTGTTACTGGGAACTTCGGGTTCTGGGGGGAAGACAGATACCAAATAGAAGCCGACACCCAGCATCACCGAGAGCCCGCTGGGCTCATCACTCAGACGCCCGTGAGAGACCCACATGCTTCCTATGTGCCTCACAGGAGTGCCTGACACATAGACACGGGACATGCGTAGAGGCACTCTGTGAATGAAAGCAGGCCTCTGGGCTGGCAGTGGGGGACCCACCCCCAGGGGGCGGGGCTCCCCTCCGCCAGCCAGGGCCTTGGCTGTTCTGACACGCCCATCTTCTGAGCAGGCGGAGTGACCACCTTCGTGGCCCTCTATGACTATGAGTCACGGACAGAGACTGACCTGTCTTTCAAGAAAGGGGAGCGGCTTCAGATTGTCAACAACACGTGAGTGCCCCCTGGGACCCCGATCCGGTCTTGGACCAGAGCCACTTCTGAGCGTCCCGGAGCCAGCTTGATGGGCAGCGGGCGGGGCTGGATGGGAAACCCGTCCTGGGCATCCTGGGGTCTGTGGGGGTGATGAGGCAGGCACCCCGCTGAGGTGGGTGGGGCTTCGGGAGGGCTCCAGGGACAGGGATCTGGGTTCGGTAACTGGTCCGCAGAGCACGGTGCTCCAGATCCCAGCACCCACAAAGGAGCGTGTGGTCAGCACAGGACTGGGCCCGGGACCCGGGACTAAAAACAGCATGGCCTTTGTAGCTGGAGGCTGTGCCCTCAGAGGTGCTGGAGCACCTGGGGCAGCCTGGAAAGCGAGTCTTCAGCTGTAGAGGGAGGGCCCTGCATTGGCAGGGTTGGGGGACCCATATTAGGGACCCAACGTGAGAGGGGGTCAAGATAGGGCATGGGGAGGATGGGGGCATAGGATGTGGAGGGCAGGGCACCCTAGGGTGGCATCCATGTCCCCCTCCAGGGACTCCAGCCTTGGCATGGGGCATCCTAGGGCCAAGCTGATGAATGGGGATGCTGGGGGCCCTGCCAGACTCTGGGGCCCCTGTGAGTGATGAACTGATGAGGGGGGTGGGGCCTCAGCCAGGGGGTGGGGTCCTTCCCCTCCTCCCTCCTCCTCTCCTTTCCCCACTCAGAGTGCAGTGGGGAGTGGGGTGCAGCCCCTGTCATGGGGGGTGGGGAGTGCAGGCTGCGGGTGCCATGCCCGGGGGTGGTCACAGTGGGGGCGGAGCTGCCGACAGAGGGCGGGGCACGGCTCCACACCAGGTCCTTCCTGCCCTTGGCCGGCCTGCTCTCCCCTCTCTGCCACCTCCCATCCCTGCCCCCAGCCTCAGGACGCCCCTCCCCACTCCTGGCCGGTGCTTGCCCCCTCCAGCTCTCTCTCAGCCTCTCCCTCTCCGCTTCTCTCTCGCTGGCCCTAGGAGGAAGGTGGATGTCAGGTGTGTACACGCTCCAGGGGCGGCGGGCTGGGTGGGGGCGCTTCACTGGTGGGGGCGGGGCTGCATGCGCTTCCACCTGCACCCCCTCTGGCTTCCCTAGCTTCCATCCTCACACCCTGGAGTTGGACCAGATCCTGACCCGCACCGCAGGCTGAGAATGGGGAGGGTCCTCCCCTCACCCCTGTCACTCCCCGTCACACCTCCTCCCCATCCACCTCCTGCTCGCTCAGCTGCCCCCCGAGTGCCAGCTGCATGCAGGGCCAGCGCTGGGCCCAGGGAGGCCTGGGTGGAGAAGGCCACGTCCTCCTGGGGCCAGAGTGTAGTGGGACTGGCCCTAGTCTGGGCCCTGTGGCCGGCGGAGGGCGGGGCTGGGGTCAGCTTGGGCTTTAGGGGGCCACGCTTTGTGCCCCGCTCTGGTGGTGAGCAGGGGCTGGGAGGCTCAAGCAGGACCTCGAAGGAAGCACAGTGAAGCCGAGGTGCTGGAGGGGGGTGGTAGATGGCAGCCCCTCTCACAGAAGGGCAGCTCCTGGGAGGGTGCAGTGCTGGAGCGTGCTAGATGCCTTCAGGGCTATGGAAGGGCAAGAAGCTTCGAGAGTGGGGTTGATCCCGGAGCATCCTCGAAGGCCTGGCTAAGGAGGTTGGACATCTCCACCGTCTCCAGGCATTTCTTGCTTGTTCGTGCCTGCCTGCCGTTACTGCATGTTGTTCCCTGTGCCTGAAAGGCCCCTTCTCCCATCGGTCTGGCAAACTCCTATTCACCCCTCAAGATCCAGCTCAGAAGTGCCTTCCTTGTGAGGCAAAGGGGAAAAGAGGAGTAGGCATTTTTACCCACGTCCTTTACTCTGCCGCCATCCCCCAGGCCTGCAGTGGTGGGGAGGGGCCATCGCCATATTGATTCCTCATGTGGAATGAGGAAACCGAGGCTCAGAGATGTAAAGGCCCTTGCCCAAGGTCACACAGCTACCGAGTAGCAAAGCCAGGATTGGAACTTGGGCAGCAGCTCTCTCTCTTCTTTAATCTGCTCTCCCAGGGGGAGGGGGCTTTCCCAGCTCCCCCAAACCCCTGCTGTCTGAGTCCCAATGCCACTCCAGTTCTCCTATGGTTCCAGCTGTTTCCATCTGCCTACCCCCAAAATGGGAGCTCATTGAGGGCTGCTCTTGTGCCTGCCACATTTTGGGGCCCCCTATCACCCCATGTTGCTTACCCCACTGGGGGTACCCAGGTGGTACTGGCGCACCGTTTCTTGTGCCCTGCTTGTGGGCCTGGGCTCATGCTGAGCGCTTTGAGCTGCGTTGTTTTATTTAAAAGGCACCATAGCCCTGGGAAGTGGAAATGTTTATTGGCTCCATTTTACAGATGAGGAAACTGAGGCCCAGAGGGGTGAAATGACTTTCTCAAGGTCACACAGCTAGTAGTGGCAGAGGTGGGCGGGGCGGGGCGGGGGTAGGCATGACCCTGAGCCCTTGGAGGAGGGGCTCTGTGCAGGTGCAGAGGAGCCAGGAGGAGGGAGGGGCCTGAGCTGGGGGGGATGCTGCCTCAGGCTGGAGGAGACTTTGAAGTGCTGGGGGGATCTCAACTGGCAACGATGGGAAGGGCTTCTCAGGGGGCTCACAGTTTGAGCAAAGGTGTGGCCAGAGGAGAGTTCTGGAAACATTGATTTTGCCTCTTTCACTCATCCTTTGTCAGCCGCTTTCCTTCCTTCTTCCTGCCTTCCAGGATGGGCTGGGGGCTGCCAGGAGGGCTGGAAGTGATGGAGACCTGTCCATGGGAAGCCCATGGTGGGCAGTGAGGTGCCCCAATTGGAAGGTGGGAGTGGATCTGGAGCCTTTCCTCATATCACAGCACTCAGCTGCTCCTCTGCCTTAGAAGTCGGGTGATGGTGGAGTTGGGGGGACCTGGCATTAGAGGAAGAGGGTAACAGGATCGGGGATGGGGCAGGGGAGTATCCCTGTCCTGCTTCCCTTAGTGGAAGATGGGCCACCCACGTGTGAGGTTTCATACCTCACCCTGGGACCACCCCGCATGTCCTTCTACCATTATCGCTTAAGCTTCATTATTGTGAGCCCCCTGCACCCACCCCGCACCCAGTCCCAGGAGTGAGGGATTTTCTGAGTCTAGCCTGTGGCTGGGCTGGGAGTCGAGGGAGAGCTTAAGGCCGAGCCTGTTGGGGCTGGGCCAGGGCTGGCCGGGCTGGGGTTCTCACAGCAGCTGCCTGCCACGTGGTCCCGGACCTAGAGCTCTGGGTGCTGTGTGGCCTTGGGTTGGAGGAAGCCCATCTGAGGGGTGACCGCCCTGACCCCTGTCCTGGTGTCTGAGTCTCTCTAGGAGCCAGAGCCCCTTGGGTCTGACTTTGGGATGCTTCCCAAACTGCCGTTTCCTCCCACCCGGATTATTCCAGCAGCTTCTCCAGCAGGCACTGATCTCTGCCCCCTTGCCCTGGGCTCTTCGGTTCCACTCCCCGCCGTGGGGCGAGGGACCCCTTCCTGCCCTCCTCACACGATCTGCCTCGGCCTCACCCTGCTCTCTCCCCAAGGACCAAGCACGGGTCCAGGCCTCAGGGCTCGGAAACTTGACTGTCTGAACTGTACCCAGCTGCCCTGGCTCGCCTACAACCCCCAAATCGCTTCTCTGGTCACTTCCAACAGCCCAAAAGAGTTAAATAGAAGAATGCAAGCTGCCCTAATTCCCCAGGTTCCAAAGCTGCCACCCTCCCAATCCACATGCCAGCCTGAATTAGCCACAAGGATTAGGCTCTAAAAAGAGGATCCTGAGCCTCAGAGAGGTGAGGTCAGTAGCCTGAAGTCACACAGCTAGTGACAGCACGTGGGGTGTAAAATCCTAGTGTGGGGATTCCTGGTCCAGTACCTTCTTCTCTGGCCACATGACGGAAGGTGAGGGGTCAGGCAGGGATGTATGATTCCCTTCCTTCCCTTCTTCCTGCCTATCTGTTGGGACCCAGGTCCCAGGAAAGGTGTGAGATGCAGTAAATGTGCTCAACATGTGAGGTTAACACCACTGCCACTTCTGAGCTCAGATCAGAGTCCCCACCAGACTGGACTGATCTGGAAGCTATGGGGCCCCTCATTGTGACGGCAGTCCCTGGCCCTTGGCAGAGCCAGCTCACAGCCACCTGAGGCAGGTTTGAACCTCCCAGTCCACTTACCCAAACTTGATGGCTTGATGCTGACTGATTTATACACTTTGCCTGCAAGGGAGATTTTGTCACTCTTATCTCCTTTTTATAGAGGTGCTGAGAAGGTAGGGAACTTGCCCTAAGCCACACAGCAAATCCTTACTCGAGACTGGAACTGAGCTGCATGCTGGTTTTTAAAACCGTGTTGGAGAGTGGGGAGGGGTGCCATAGAGATGCGGATTTCATTCTTTTTCTTTTTTTAGCCAAATCAAGAGACTAACAGCTCATGCACATCGAGCACCTACTGTGTGCCAGGTATAGTGCTGGGATTTTGCATCCTCAGAGGGAGGCATGAGTATCCCCATCCTGCAGATGAGGAAACCGAGGTAGGGCCAAGGTCATACCTGTAAGTGCTGAGCTGGGCTGGCGCCAGGATGCTTGGATTCTGGTGCTCAGGCTCTTCAAAACCTCTCAAGCCGGGGCTAGGCTGAAGCTGGACGTTGGATCCTTGGTGAGATTTGAGCATACCTCCATCCCTGTCCTTGTGAAATAAACCCTCAAATTGGACTGTGAGCCCAAACTCACACATGGGCTGGTGTCGGGGAGCTGGAGGCTCAGCTGGCCCAGCCTGGGTGATGTCAGCAGAGCTGAACCCCTGCTTCAGGGGCTTCTGGGGCCGTGCTTGGCCAGCCTCTGGGCACATGCTGCTGCCAGCCTTCCACTGTGAGTAGGTGGCTGGGGCCTTTCCCAAGGCCAGCCAGCTCGCAAACTCTGGCTTTGTCAATCTGTCCCATTTCGTAGTCTCTGACCTAGACCTCGGCTCATCCCCTGCCCCCAGCTCTGCTGCCTCCTCCTCCACCTTCCCCTGGTTTCCCTGAGGGTCTCTGAGTCTGAGGGGCCTGGGGAGGGCACAGGGGTCAGGGGGCTGGCCAAGACTGGCTGTGGGCCCACAGGGGCCCTGGTTCTCACCCTTGCTCTGCTGTTGATTTGCTGTGTGTCTTTGGGCAAATCATCGCCCTTCTCTGTGCCTTATTTTCCCCCTTGGTGAAATGAAGGCTTTGGACTGGAAAATCTCTGCTAGCTTTGGGGAAGTCTCTACCCCATTCTGTGCCTCATTTTCACCAACTCCACGAAGAAAGTGCTGGGTTATTCCAACCTGGGTGCTGTGTGTCCTTGGGCTGGTCCCTAGACATCTCTGAGCCACCTTTTCTTTATCCAGGGTCTGAGGCCTGCCTTTTTTGCAGGGTGGTCTTGAGGGTCAGATAGGACAGACAGTGTGGGACCCCCCCATCCACTGTGGGTACGCACAGAGAGGTAGATGGAAGTCCTGGGCACCTCCAGGCTTCTTTCCTTGAGGTGGGCATCGCCACCGTACTCTGGGGCCCTCCGTCTCCTGCCAAGATTCCCTTGTGAGCCTGTGCCCCGGCCTGAGTGTGCGTGTGTGTGGTGATTGTACTGCTGAGTCAGCCCACACAACACCAATCTCACTCCATCCAGAAGGGACTCACACTCTCTGGTCGAGCCTGGGGCCCACCTGTCTGACTTTGGGATGCTCACTTGTACTCGTCTCTTCTCAGAGAGCTCCTTTAGCCCCACTCTCTCCTGGCCTCAACTTCTCCATCTTCAAAACAGGCTGGAGCGCATAAGTCAGGGGCAACTCAGAAGAACCCGGAGCCAGGGATCCAGGTTCAAGTCCAGACTGTGGCTGTGGGCAAGGCCTTTTTCTCTTTGGATCCTGATCATGGGCAGCAGGGAGCACATCCCTTGGCTGTGTGTCTTCTCAGGGTTGTGATGAGGTCAAAGGCAGCCTTGGGGTGAGAAGCTCAGCAAGGTATCAAACTCTCCTGTAGGGAGAGCTTCCCTACAGCTCCCTGTAGGGAGGGATTCCTCCTCATCTGGGAGTCAGGAACCTGGGCCTGGCTGTGTGACCTTGAGCAGAGGCCCTTGCATCTCTAGCCTCAGTCTTCCCATCTGTGCAGTGGGAATTGGAGGGAGCTGGGCCCTATTTCCCAGGTAGCCCTTCCCATCGGCCTCCTCTCCCTTCCCATCAACCCTCTCCCTGCCTCCATTGATTGCTTTGGATGCAAGGCCCCCATGGCTGCCGCCTGCACCCCCCCTCCCCGCCCCTGGCACCACCTGGCCCTCCGCTCTCCCCCTCGCTCTCTCTCTCTCTCACCACCCCCATCTCTGCCTCTTCTTTCCTATTGGGCTCTCGCTTTCTCCTCCCTCCTCTGTGTCTCTGGACCCCCGCTCCAGCCAGACCTGGTTCACATTCAGATGGCTGCAAAGGTACTTCTGCCCCTTCCCCGCTGCCCCCCAGGCCCAGGGGACCCACCCTGCTGGGGCCTTCTCCTGCCCCATCACCCTGTCCCCATCACACTCCCTGCCTCATGGGGAAATCAGTGTAGAAGGGCCCTGGGCACTGGGGCTCTGCCACTTCAGCTCCCTCTGACATGGCTCGCTGTGTGACTTTGGGCAAGTCCCATCCCCCTCTGGCCTCAGTTTCCCCATAGCTGGGTAGGCTGCAGGAGGAGGCCTGTAGTTTTTAGTCAAGGAGCCTGGTGGGTGTGACCCGTGATTTGTGACAAAGGCAAGCATTGCTCCAGCTGCAGTGGCAGCTCTGCAGAGAGCGCCTGGATTGTCACCAAGCCCCAAAAGGACCACCCTTTGCCTCCACTCAGGTCTTGCCAGTTCCCAGGCTTGGGCTTCCAAATCTCAGGGCTTGGGGGGGTTTTGAAGGTCTGATTTGCCATCCATCTCAGGCAGGAAGCTTCTCCTGTTACAACTTGCTTGCTCCCCAGAGACAGGGAGCTCCCTCCCTAAATCGCGAGGCAGGCTCTTGGCATCTTGAGAAGGTTTGGGGTATCTGCAGGGCACCCGATCGCTTCCCAGAGTCTCAGGACTCTGCCCCTGTGAGTTTGGGCCTCATTGTCTGAGTCAGCTTTGGCCAGGAGCCTTCTGGGATAGGGAGGGGAGGAGTCCCAGGCCAGCTCAATTTGACAGGGGGCGAGTGGCCTGATCTCTGTGTTCCCTGCACCTCACTCAGCCTCGCGAGCCCCCAGCACAGCACCTCTGAAGACTGCACGCCCTGGGGCCCATTGCTGATGGTTTCCTTCTCCTTTGCTCCCTCCCTCTCCCCCTGCTCAGAGAGGGAGACTGGTGGCTGGCCCACTCACTCAGCACAGGACAGACGGGCTACATCCCCAGCAACTATGTGGCGCCCTCTGACTCGATCCAGGCCGAAGAGTGAGTATTGACTCTGGCCTCCTGCTTGCTCACCATTATCGATGCTGGTTCAGAGCTTCTCTCCTGGGCTAGAGTGGGGGTGCTGGCTGCCCCAGCCACATCCCAGGAAGAGATATGGTGGGTGGGTGGAATTCTGGACCACCAGCACCATCCCCTCCCTCCCGCCCCAGGTGGTACTTTGGCAAGATCACCAGACGGGAGTCAGAGCGGTTACTGCTCAATGCGGAGAACCCAAGAGGGACCTTCCTAGTGCGAGAAAGCGAGACCACGAAAGGTATGAGTTCTTCTACTGGGAATTGAACCTTTTGTGGGTTATTTGAGCTGGGTATTGAGGAATGAATAGGAGTTTGGTATATGGAATGGGATGGGAAGAATCCTCCAGCTGGAGAAAAAGCCAGGATCAACAGCTGGGAGGTACATTTGAAGAGCACTAAATTATCTGGGGTGAGCAAAAGATGCTGCAAAAGGTGCAACAAAAGAGGCCAGTCTCTCTGGCCTCAGGTTTCTCAGATAAGGAATGGACACAGATTGTCAGGAGGCCTGAGGGTCAAAGAACCAAAGGTTGTTCCCAGGGAGGGTGCTGATTCAATGGCTCCCTCTTCTTCCCCTTCCCCAGGGGCCTCAGGGGCTGGACTGGGTACTGGGACCTGGCTTTGCCCTTCTCCCAATAGTCCTGGCCTCTGTTCCTTTCCTGTCCCTCCCCTCTGCCAGAGAATGATCACCTCCTTTCTCTCCAGCCCCTCTGCAAATGGGTTGCAGACTCCATCACCATGGTGACGAAGCTCCTGCTTCCTGTGGGACTGGGGCTCAGTGGGAGATAGGAAAGAGTGTCCATGTCACGTGTGCGCATTTATGAGCGGTCCTGTGGCTGTGCATGCCATGTGTGGGTCCAGGCATGTGTGTGTGTGCACCTGGGGTAGAGTTGTCTGTGTGATGCTGTGTGGGAGTGAATTGTTAGGAGTTTGTCCTTGTGCCTGGGGGCCTGGAGACCGTGAGCCTGTGTGAGCATATGGCCACTGGACATGGGCATGTTTGTGGTGTGTGCATACGTGGTCAGGGCTTGGCCTTAGATTGAGGGCTGTGGCTTCTATACACACATGGCTGGGTCATCTGTAGAAAGTCATGGTTGTCCAGTGCAGGCTTTAGAGACCCAGGCACAGGTTCTGTGTGTGTCTGAATTGCTGGGTGGGTGACCTGAGGCTAGCTGTTTTCCCTCTCTGAGCCTCATTTTCCCTTTTTGACACTGGATATTGTAAACCCCACCTAAGGATTGTCCAGAGGTTGTGGGGGCTGTGGGGGATTGGGCTTCCAGAATGATGCCTGTATGCTGTTTCCTTAGAAGGGCTTTCTCTGGCCACTGGAGCCTTCTCCCCCACCTCTGGGGCTCAGCCTTTTTCCCTGATGCCACCCCAGGCATCTTTTAGGCTCAGGTTAACAGGCCTGTTGGGCAGAAGGAAACTTTTCGAGTCCAAAGCTTTTCTAGGCTCCAGGGAAGCAGGGAGGGGGCCACCCGGACTGGCCCAGCTGAGCCTTGGCAGCTTTCAGGCCACGCCCAGTATGTGGTCTCCTGCCCAGGGCAGAGGAGAAGGCAATAGCAAACCACTCCAGTACTCTTGCCTGGAAAATCCCAGGGATGGAGGAGCCTGGTAGGCTACAGTCCATGGGGTCGCGAAGAGTCAGACAGGACTGAGCGACTTCACTTTCACTTTTCACTTTCATGCATTGGAGAAGGAAATGGTAACCCACTCCAGTGTTCTTGCCTGAAGAATCCCAGGGACGAGGGAGCCTGGTGGGCTGCCGTCTATGGGGTCGCAAAGGGTTGGACACAACTGAAGCGACTTAGCAGCAGCAGCAGCAGCAGCCCAGGGCAGCCCAGCCTTAGCCAACCACTGTCTCCTGCCTGAGCCTGGAGTCTTCAGGGAGGAGCGGGGCCTGGACCCCACTGCAGTGGGCAGACCCAGAGAGGAGAGGCAGTTAGGCCAGGGACACATAGCTACCTTGGGCTCTTCCTGTGAGGCTCCCCACAAACATTTACTGAGCACCTATTGTGTACCCGGCCTTCTTATATGTGGTCTCTCTGAATCTGCCCAGCTGCCTGGGGAGTAGCCCACTTGTGCAGAGGAGGAAACTGAGGCCCAAAGAGAGCAAGTCACTTGCTCAGGTCACAGAGCGGGGATCACATCTGGGCTTCACAGGTCAAAGGTGCATGAGAGATTCTTGAGTCAGGTGCCCTTTGTCACTTGACTGCCCCAGTGGCCACCCGGGTGCTGGGTCCTCAGAGACAGGTTGGACCAGACCTGGCTCCTTCCGTGCCTGCCTTCCATCCCGTGTCGGGAAGGTGTGCTCAGCGCCGCGGCCGTGGGTGAGCAGGGTGGTGGTCACGGCCCCTCTCCGGCCTATCCTGCAGGCGCCTACTGCCTCTCGGTGTCTGACTTCGACAACGCCAAGGGCCTCAACGTGAAGCACTACAAGATCCGCAAGCTGGACAGCGGCGGCTTCTACATCACCTCCCGCACCCAGTTCAACAGCCTGCAGCAGCTGGTGGCCTACTACTCCAGTGAGTGCCGGCCAGCTGGCCGTAGGGAGGGTAGGCCCCGGGAGGGGGTGGGAGGTGGGGGTTTCCATCTGTATTGCAGACCCTGAGCTGGGGGCTTTGGAGCCAACCAGGTCCAAGACTCCTGTCACCCTGAGGATGAAGGCTCCTGCTCCCCTCCCCCTTCTTCCTTTCCCCTTTCTCCCTCCTTTCGCTCCCCTCCTCCCGTGCCCCTTTTCCCACTCCCCTCCTCCCATGCCCTCCTCCCTGGTTTCCCTCTGCCCTCCCCACCCCCTCCCACCCCTCCAATCCTATTTCGCAGCCTCCTCCTCCTCCGAAGCTTCCTGATGAGGAGGGGGCTGCCTGGAGAAGTGAGCCGGGAAGGAGCGGGGCATAGACTGGTGCCATTTGTCCCTGCAGCCTTAGGACTGGTTAGAACCGGTTACTGGGAGACAAGGAAGGGGCGGCTAGATCGATTGCAACAGGGAGGAGGAGAGCGAGTGGCAGGCGGGGAGCTCACACGTGCAGGTTGTGGGCGCGGGCTAGGCCATGTGTGCAAGGCTGTGGCCAGTCCGTCTGGATGTCCAGGGCTGCCTGGGGGGACTCCAGTCATGTCATGGTCTGTGTGCTCCCATGTGGACAGGTCCTGTGGGCACCTGGGTGTCTGTGGCATGTGGCCATGGCCTTTCACGTGTGGCCTTTCCTGAGAGCACCAGCTCCTTCTCCTCTGTCAGCTGAGCCTCTTGACTCCCTCAAGGATCTGCCACTGTCCACCTCCATCCCTTTGGCAACCGCTGCATTTATTCTGAACACAGTTCCCCCAGATCAAAACCCTCCAGGGGTTACCTTGGAATTTTAGGAGAAAGACACCCATGTGGCCTCAGGTTTTGGGTGGTCTAAACCCAACTGGCCTCCATGCCTTACCTGGGGCCCTCCTTCCCGTACTCACTCCTTGGCAGCCCTCCCCAACCCCCTCGGCCTCCTTTCGGCTTCTCCAACCCACTGGCTTGTTCCTCCCTCAGGGCCTTTGCACATGCATGAGGCAATGTGCCCTCTGCCCAGAGGGCTGTTCCCTGGTTGACCACTCACCCTCCTGCAGATACAAGCCCAGGTGCCACCTCTTCCAGGAAGCCTTCCAGGATTCCACCCAACCCACCTGCTACTGCATGTACAACTCCCCTCTGTCACACTCGTGGTCCTGGGAGGCGATATGGGAAAGTTGGGTACCCCCCTGGACTGGGAGCTCCATGAGGACAGGCTTCCAGTGGCTCCCTGGCATCCCCTTAAAGTCGGATGAATGAATGAATGAATGAATGAATGACTTGGGGAGCAGATGCTTGAGGCAGTGAGGGCCCATGTTGAGGGCAGTGCATACATACAGGTATGGACGCCTGGCCTCGAGGGTGTCCTGTGTGGCCCTGAAGCCTGTGTGCATACAGTGTGTGAGTCTACACACACACACACACACACACACCCCGTGGGACACAGCAACCCTGCGCGGATGCCAGGCCTGAACTCCACCGCCCTGTCTCCGTCTTCAGAACATGCTGACGGCCTCTGCCACCGCCTCACCACTGTGTGCCCCACGTCCAAGCCGCAGACTCAAGGTCTGGCCAAGGACGCCTGGGAGATCCCCCGGGAGTCACTGCGGCTGGAGGTCAAGCTGGGCCAGGGCTGCTTCGGAGAGGTGTGGATGGGTAAGGCCGTGCCCCCGGCGCCCCCATCCCTGCCTTGTCCCCACTTGAGAACCAGGCAGATGTCTGTCCCATGTGGCTGCTCCAGGCCCCACGAGTTCCCCAACCCTTGCTTCCACGATCTCATCACCTCTGTGAACTGTGGGCCCTACTCTCAACATGGAACTCCTCCATTGGTGGGCAGCGGCAAGCTAGGGCCCCAGCAAGCCACACCTCCGGCTGCCATGGTACCTGTTTTCCGAGAACTGCTTGGGGCTGGGCATCATGACTCCTCAGTGACGTGCCCTGTGGTCTGGGCTGGGTGGCTTCCTTCTGAGCCTTGATCTTCCCACCTGTAAAATGGGGCTGGGGGTAATAGGACCCCCTGGGGGACTGAGAGAATGCTGGCCCCATGTGCATCACCCTGTTAACTTTAGCCGTGGGAAGAGAAACCTCAACTCCTAGATGGAGCTCCGGGAGGTGCAGGGTCTAGAGCACTCCTGGCCTGTTAATGATCTGTTTAACTCTGGAGAAATGGCCAAACCGTCCTTGAAAACAAATGCCATGCACCCCTGACAAAACCCAGGCCCCCCTTCTGCTGACTGGTTTCTGCGGACATGGGTCGCGGAGGTCGTGGTGTGGGAGGCCTGGCCGTTGTGAGCCCGCATGTCCGGTGGGGAGATGACCATGTGTGGTTTTCAAGGTGGTTCCATCTGAGCTCTGGTGTATCACTGCCTCCACTTCCTTCCTTTCAGAGGAAAAGATAATGGAGGAGAGCAGAGGGGCTTCCTGGGTGGCTCACTGCAGGGACAGAGGCCTGCAGGCTGGAGGTCAGGCCAGCTCAGGAAAGGGGAGCTGCTGGCTTTGAGCTGGGGAGAGGGATGCGAAGCACAGGCACAAAGAGAGGACCTGATGGGACTTCCCTGGCAGTCCAGTGGCTGAGACTCTATGCTGCCAATACAGGGGGCCCAGGTTCAATCCCTAATCAGGGAACTAGATCCCACAAGCCACAACTAAGAGTTCACATGCTTCAACAAAGATCAAAGATCCCGTGTGCTACAACTAAGACCTAGCGCAGCTAAATGCATAAATAAATATTAAAAAAAAAAAAGAGGACCTGAGTAACACCAAGAAATCCACAGCATCAGCCATTCTCGTGGCTGCAAAACTCATCTCTGGCTTGGCTGTGCAGTGAAGTCAGTGGGGGAGGCTCTCGCTCCTCTCTGGATGATCCAGGCAGACTCATGAAGAGCCTGGTACATATCTCCAGAGGGCCCGTGCTGGAGGACCACAGACATGGGCCTGAGCCCCAACCCTCAGATGGAGACCCAGAGATGGTGAGGCATGGGCCTAAGGCCACTCATCAAAGGAGCCTCAGGCTCCTTTGGCTGGAACCAAACTGGGATTAAACACACCGGTTTAAAACATAGCTTTCCCTGAGACATCATAGTTTGAAAAACCAGATAATAATAAAATGACAGCAGCAGCTGTTAACTGTGTGCTCACAGTGGGCTTAGCAGCCCTAGCAGCCCCATAGGTGGATATTATAGCATCCCCATTTTCCAGATGAGAAAATCGAGGTTTAGAGGGGCAATGACTCGCCTGTGGTCTCACTGCTGACAGTGGGCAGAAGTGGGAGCCAAACTCCTGCTAGTCTGACCTCTGAGTCTTTGTACTCCGTGTGAGGCTTTAATTACTTTTTGGCGAGTGTTGCTTGAGACAGGTTCTTGTTCTGGTGGCCTTGTTCTGAGGCCAGCTGTCTCACCCCCAGCCCCCACCACGCACACACGCCATCTGTGAACACCTAGGCCACCTTTTGGTGTGTTACCCAGAAGGAACATGACCACCCCGAGGAGGGCAGTTGAATTGACGAATGGGCTGCTTTTGGAGACATTTCTAATCATAAAGCGTCCTAAGAACAGCTACTGTTTCTTGAGCGTGCCCTGTGAGGAGCTTCCTGCCCATTTTGCAGATGGTGACACTGAGGCTCAGAAGCGGGTTGGACCTTGGCTGAGCTTGTCACCTGGCCTGGGAGGCCAGAGCTGACATTGGCATCCAGACAGGCAGATCCTGCATCCCTGTGGAATGGGAATAGGGGTCCACCCCTGAGGCAACCTGCATGCCTGTCCACACAGGGACCTGGAACGGCACCACCAGGGTGGCCATCAAAACCCTGAAGCCTGGTACGATGTCTCCGGAGGCCTTCCTGCAGGAGGCCCAGGTCATGAAGAAGCTGAGGCATGAGAAACTCGTGCAGCTGTATGCCGTGGTGTCCGAAGAGCCCATCTACATTGTCACGGAGTACATGAGCAAGGGTGAGGGAAGCCGGGAGGGCCCTGGTGGGGGTCCTTACAACAGGGCAGGTGGGATGTGCTTCACTTCCCACACATCTAGAGTGTGTGCCTTTATTTTTAAAATTATTTATTTATTTATTTTTAACACCAAAAACACTTTGTGTTGGGGTATAGCCGATGAGCAATGTTGTGACAGTTTCAGGTGAAAGGCAAAGAGGTTCAACCATACATAGGCATGTATCCCTTTTCCCCTAGGCCTCCCTCCATTAAGCTCTCCCATCCACCTGGTTCCAGGTTGGCACATAACACTGAGCAAAGTTCGCTGTTCTATCCAATAGGTCTTTGTTGGTTATCCATCTAAAATATAGCAATGTGTACATGTCCTTCCCAAAGTCCCTAACTATCCCTTTCCCCCAGCAACCATGAGTTCGTTTTCTAGGTCTGTGAGTTAGAGCACATGCCTTTAAAGGTGAAATGAATGAAAAGAATCAACTTCCCATGTCCATGAAACATTACCTTTCTCGGTTCATTTTGTTTTTAGTGATGTCCCACAATGCATCAGTGTCCCTCTATCTGCTGCTTTTGTAAAGCTGTTTGCCATTTTTAGGGCTGGCAGGAACACTCCCCGAATCCTCCAAGCTGAGCCACATCTGGGTCAAGTTCCTGGCTTGATTTTTACTTAGTTTTGAGAATAATTATTTTTCAAAATTCCACTTTTGGAGGTATAATTTACCACTGGTGGTTCAGTGGTTAAGACTTTGCTTTCCAGTGCAGGGGATGTGGGTTCGATCCCTTGTCGGGGAGCTAAAAATCCCACATGCCTCATGGCCAAAAAACCAAAACATAAAACAGAAGCAATACTGTAACAAATTCAATAAAGACTTTAAAAATAGTCCCCATTAAAAAAAAAATCTTTGGAAAAAAAACAACACCCATTTTAAATGTGTAGTTCAGTGAGTTTTAATGAATGGATATGCTGTGTATCTCTTGGCATAGTCGAGATAAACACCATCACCCCAGAAAACACCTTTGTATTCCTTTGCAGATAGTACACTACAGTCCCAAACCCATTCAGTCACTGATGTGCTTTCTGTCTTCATAGATTTCTTTCTTCTAGAACTTCATGTATGAAATCTTTTACATCCAAGGGTTTTCTTTCTTGTTGTGTATATCAGTAGTTTCTTCCTTTTTTATTGCTTAGTATTATTCCATTATAGTATGGCTGCGCCATTATAGTATGCCTGTACCACAGTTCTGTTCTCCTAGAGGTGAACGTTTGGTTGTTTCCCATCCTGCTTGCCTTTTGAGTGACAAACACAGACTTTATTCAGAGATGGGTTTACATAAAATCTGCTGTATGGTTAAAGCAAGACTGGCCTGCCCCAGTGGACAAGATCTTGGAATCACTGCTTTCTGGCTCAGGGAGGACAGAGCGGGAGCTAGAGCTGCTTTCTCTCTGCCCAGGAAGTTTGCTGGACTTTCTCAAGGGGGAGACAGGCAAGTACCTGAGGCTGCCTCAGCTGGTGGACATGGCTGCACAGGTGAGTCAGCCCCTCCCATCCCCTACATCTGGCCTTGGGCTCTCCCACCCACCTGGCTCTGCCACATCTGGCCTCTTGAGTGCCCCCTCCAAGAAACTTGCCTTGATTGCCCTCACCCTCGCTGATCTCATCCCATGTATTACTGGGACCACTTACAGATGCTGTTGAGTGGTGGTTCGGGGCAGAGGAAAGAGCCCTAACCTGGGCATCAGGAGTCACTGACTTGCTATGGGACCTCAGACCTCAGTTTTCTTTTCTGTCAAGGTCATTCAGTCACTCAACAAACCTGTGTTAGTACTTGTTTGTAGGCGGTGCTCAACAATCACTTTTTAATCCTTATCACAATCAGGGGAGGTAGGGATGGCTATTATTCCATTTGACAGATGAGAAAACTGAGGCTCAGAAAGGGACTTGAGACAACTGGCAGGATCTGGCAGTCATCTGTGTCTCTGGGAGCATCTGGGGTCTCTTTTCATGGTCACCCCACTTCCCTGGTCGCATCTTGTCTTGTGGCTCCCCCTTGCCCTATGCTCTCTCCTTAGGCCAGGCACTGGTTCCCCTTTTTGGGCCAACAGGGTTTACTATAAACTGGTTTCACTGCCTGCAAAACTGGGAAGGGCAGGGCATTTGGTTGGCTGTCCACTCCTGGGGATGACCCCATCCCTGGGCATGTGCCCTGTGGTCTGGGAAGGGCACAGGGTGGCCTCTGAATCAGGCTCCTGGGTTCTGCCTGCAGATCGCCTCAGGCATGGCTTACGTGGAGCGGATGAACTATGTCCACCGAGACCTCCGGGCTGCCAACATCCTGGTGGGAGAGAGCCTCGTGTGCAAAGTGGCTGACTTCGGGCTGGCTCGACTCATTGAAGACAACGAGTACACAGCCCGGCAAGGTGGGCAGGCTCCCAGCAGATGCCGTGGGGAGTCACGCCCCTTCTCTGAGCCTCAGTTTCCTCCTCTGTCAAGTGGGGACCAGAACGGTGCCTGACAGAGAGGTCATGATGTTCTCCTGAGCTCCTCCGACCGTTCTTGTTCCTACAGGTGCCAAATTCCCCATCAAGTGGACGGCTCCGGAAGCTGCCCTCTATGGCCGGTTCACCATCAAATCAGATGTATGGTCCTTTGGGATCCTGCTGACGGAGCTCACGACAAAGGGACGAGTGCCCTACCCCGGTAAGAGGACTCCCCGCCGCCCATCTTTGGTCCTTCTGCCCCTGCCCTGGTGACGCCCCTGCTCAGGAGATCTTGGGCACATAAAAGCCCCTCTTGGGCCTCAGTTTCCCCATCTGCATAACAAAGAGGTGACCCTCTGACCCTAGGCTCTGTCATTGTGCAGGGCTCCCAGGCTCGGGGAGGGCCTTACCTGTGGTCACAGCCTCCCTGCCCCGAAGCAGGAACCCCTCTTGGTTGTCCCCATCAACGTCCCGCTGCTCCACTTGCCCCCCTAGCGCCTCACGCCCCCTCTGCCCGCAGGGATGGTGAACCGCGAGGTGCTGGACCAGGTGGAGCGGGGCTACCGGATGCCCTGCCCACCTGAGTGTCCCGAGTCCTTGCATGACTTGATGTGCCAGTGCTGGCGGAAGGACCCGGAGGAACGGCCCACCTTCGAGTACCTGCAGGCCTTCCTGGAGGACTATTTCACGTCCACCGAGCCCCAGTACCAGCCCGGAGAGAACCTATAGGGCGGGGCTACCGGGCCAGACTGCCTTCTCGGCTTGGATCCTGGGCTGGGTGGCCCCTGACGCGGGCTCTTGCCTGCCTCCGCCTGCCCGCATTCCGTGGAATTGCCAGTGACGAGGCTCCACCCTCTTCCGTGGCGGGGCGGGGCTTGGGGCCGCCCTGGGGGCGGGGCCTAAGGCTGCCAGTGACTGTGTCCTGGCTCCGCCCACCAACACGCCCCCTCCCTGCGTTCTCTCCCGGAGCACTGCGTGTCTCAGCGGGAGGCCCTGGGAAGAAAGGCTGGGGCTGAGGTTGCCCTTTTCTTAGCCTCAGCCCACCCCGCGCACTGGCTCCTTCCCACTTCCACGCCACCCCAGGTCTGTCTGCAGAGCTGGCCAAAGAGCCTTTCCAAAGAGGAGTGATGGGCCCCTGGCCCCCGGCCTGCCTGCCGCCCTGGCCCATGCCGTCCGTTTCTGAATCGCCTGTTTGCGGAAGGCTCCTGGGTTCAGCCCTCTCCGCTGTGGCTCTCAGGCTGGTGAGGCCTAGCTTGACTTGATGCTCGTGGGTGGGGGTGGACACCCTCCTCAAACCCTGCCCTTCTTAGGCTTGAGGAATCCTCAGAGATCATTAATTCCTTGTCCCCGTATTACCCATGGGGACACTGAGTCCAGAGAGAGGATGTGACTTGCCCCAGGCAGCAGAGCACTGCAGGGTTGAGGTGGGATTGGAACCCGGTGCTCCCTCTGTCTTCCTCAGGAACCAGCGCAATTGTCCTTGGAGGCACTGTGGACAGACTGGGCAGCCCAGGGGACAAGGGGCCTGAGAAGGCTCAGAGATAGCAGACAGAGGCCTGCTGCCCCTGCTCGCTCAGTGGGGCTGTTGTGGGGGGAGAAAGTGGAGGTGGATGTGGGGCTGAGCTAGAAATGAAGGGTATAAGGGTAGGGAGGCAGGTTTCAATCAGAGTGTGGATGGTTTTTTATCTTTGGCACTAGCCAGTCATGAAAGGGAGCTCACAGGCTCTGGAGGCAATCAAGCAGAAGTAGAAGATCCAAGTGGTTGCGAGACCCTGGCCTCAGGACGGAACCCCAGGTCCTCCTTCCCCCAGTTGGTCCTGTGTCATTTCAATGCCTGGCCTCTGCTCTCCTCTCCAAGTTGGCACCCTTAACCCATGAGTAGGGAAAGGAGTGCGTAGGCTGGGGTGAGAGAGGACAGATTGTCTATTGCCACATACCAGGACTGGCTGTGTGACCTCGGGCAGCCCCTGCTGCTTCTCTGGGCTTCAGTGTCTGCCTCCATATGTGGCCATGGCCTCTGCAACTGCTCCACTCCTGTCCAGACCCTATGGCCTGGCATCACGTGGTGATTGGTGAGTCTAGCCCATGGCATCAAGAGACCATGTTTTGGCCCTTGGGCTCTGTGGTGGCTTTTCCCTGGGCCTCATCATGCCCTTCTTACATGGGGCAGCTGACAGTTTTGTAGGCATTCTGCCAAGGGCCCCTGTGTGTGTGTATGTGTGTGTGTGCACGTGTGTGTTCCTCCGTGTGTGTCCATATTTAACATGTAAAAATGTCCCCTCCTCTGTCCCCCAGCCATGTACATTTCACCCCCAGTCCCCCATCATAGCAATAACGTTCCTGCTGCCAGGGGTTCTTGAGCCAGCCAGGCCCTGCCAGTGGGGAAGGAGGCCAAGTGGTGCCTGCCTATGAAATTTCAATTTTTCCTTTCATACATGTGTATTACCCAAGTCTTCTCCTGTCTGTCCCAGTCAAAATCTGGGTTCACTCCAGCGTGCTCTCAAATCCCCTTCCAATTGCCCAGCGCCCTTTGTATAAGGTATCCTAATACTGTCCTTTTTTTTTTTTTAAACAAACAGTGTTTTGTAGATTTCAGATGACTATGCAGAGGCCTAGGGGACCCCCGGCTCTGGGCAGGGCCAGGGGGTTCCGCATTCCATGGCCCAGGCCTGGGGGGGAGGGGGGAATTTGGAATTGGTTGTAAATACTTTGCATATTGTCTGATTAAACACAAACAGACCTCAGAGTTTGGCCAGTGGTTTCTTGAGTATCTATTGTGTGCTGGAGTGTGACAGGGGGTGGGATGGGAGGACAGGCTGTGTCAGAGGGGCCTTTGTGCAGGCAGTATGTGGCTTGACAGCTTCACGCCAGGGAGGGACATAATCAGATTGGAGACCTCTGGAGTGTGGCTGTGTGTGAACATCTGTTCCTGTGTTTGGGGAGTGACCATGCCTTGCAGCAACCTTGCTTGTGTCTGGGTGAAGCCCAGGACTCTCCAAGTGTGAGCAGTTGAGGACTCAGATGCCCTGGGTGGATGGTGGCTGTTGACACTCTGGGGGCCCCATGGGGCTGTCATGCACTTGGGGAGTTGTGGATGTCCCCACGGGGAGCTGTGGCTGTGTGTATGCTGTGTGTTTCTCAGGAGTGCCTGGGAGGGTGGGGGTGGTGAGACTGGTCAGCAAAAGCCCTGGGTATTCTGGAGAAAACTCCAAAGACTCCTCCTCTGTTCCCTTGTCCCCTCTACCAGGGCACACAGCCTGGAAATTCATTTGCAACAGTTTATAGGAAGAAATGTACTTTTTATCAGATCACACACCTATCCATGTGAGTTACCTCTGGCCTAATGAAACTGTTTAATCTGTTTAATTAAAATCAGATTTCAAAATTGGGATGTTTCTCTGTTTGCTGTTATGTTCACAAGCCAAACACTACAATGTCCGGATCTGAATGGACATCTGGAGACTCCATGGGTGTGCGTGTGTTTTGGGAGCAGAGGTGGGAGCATGGGTGTGAGTGTGTGCTCCTGGGAGTGTGTCTTTGTGCTCATGTGGGCCCGCCTGTGGGCCTGTTTGCTCATGAGTGCCTGTGCTGGTATATGGACATGTGTCCCGGTGGCCTGTGAGTCTGGGCTCCTGGGGTTGTGTTCGCAAATGTGTGAACCTGCTTTTTTTCCGGCCGTGAGGGTGCGATTTTTGAGTACTGTGTGGATATCACTTCAGGAGGTTCTGCCTCAATCTGTGGGCTCCTGGAGCCTGGACCCCGAATTGAATGGCGGGGCTCCTCTTGCCTGCATGGTGCATCGTGTGTGTTCACATAGATGCTTGTGGGCTCAGGACGTGCACAGAATGTTGGCCGCTTGGCCAGGGCCCACACACACTGTGGTGGAGGGGCGGTGTAGTGCAGGGACACGTGCAAGCAGCCCAGGACGTGCCCCAGCCCCCAGAGGGGACAAAGCGCCTGTCCTTGGCATCCTCAGCGGGATGAGGGTCGGGAGTGCGCCTGTGCGGCGCGGCACTGGGCAGAGGGTCGAACCCGGGAGAAGCCCCAGCCCCTATTCTCTCCATGCGATTCAGTGGCCTGTGTTTCTTGCTTTATCTGTGTCTCTCCAGCTCTCTCTCTGGCTCTCTATCTTGACAGTTTTCTGTGCTTCTTTTCCTTCCTTAATCCCCCACCCTCCCCGCACACCACCACGCGTTCTTCTTGGTGTCTGTGTGTCTGTATGTGTCTGTCTCCTGTTGCTAGTTGCTCTTTTTCTCTGTGCCTCGAGGCCATCTCTATTCCTCTAGTCTCTCTCTGTGTTTTTCTGTCTCGGATTTTTTTTTTTTTACCAATCTCTCAAAGCCTCTGGTTCTTCCACCAAGCCCTCCTGCCACTCCGTTCTTCTGTCCAGGCTGTTTCCACGACTGAGAAGGCCCTTTCTTGCCTCTGCAACCTGGCAAACTCCTATTCATCCTTCAAAACACATCTCAGAGGCCACAGATCACCTCTGGAAGCTCACTTTGACGCCCCTGGAACTTGCAGAGGTTGTCACAGTGGTTCACACAACTCCCTCAAGAGAATGAAAACAGGGCTGGGGAAATTTTGGCTGAGACACCCAGATCTGGCAGATAGAGGTGCTCTCTGCTCAGGGAAGGGAGGTAGAGGTTCAGTCTGTCTCTCCCACCTATTATCTCTGGTTCCTGCTCTGGTTTTGACTCTCACTGTAGGCTTCTGTTCAGTTTGCTTTTTCTCGACCATTCAAGAGAGAGACAGTGAAGAGGCTCATGACATCCACTCTGCTGGGACCACCGTCTCCCCGCCCCTCTGCCTGCTCCTCCTCTGATGCCCTCTTCAGGGGATTGGAGACTCTGGGACCTCCTCACCCCTCCACCTTCCCCTCCAGTTTTCAGGGGGTTTTCTCGTTCTGCATGCATTTTCTTCTTTTTGAGGAAAATAAGATGTTTGCAAAAAAAAAAAAAAAAATTCCTCACAGCAGGGTAGGAAAGATACAGAAAAGCACATACAAAAAAAAAAGGTGGTAATTGGGACTTCCCTGGTGATCCAATGGTTAAGACTCTGTGCTTCCACTGCAGGGGGCGTGGGTTCTATCCCTGGTCAGGGACCTGAGATCCTGCTTGCCATGTGGCAGGAAAACAAAACAAAACAACATGGTAGTTTGTGCTATGTACCCCCTCCCACCACCTAGAAAGGATGGAACATGTTTCTGGGTATGTGTCCATCTGCGACTGTTTCTTGTCCTCTACCCACTGGCTTCAGGATCTCCTTGTCTCTTTCTCTGTCTCTTCATCCTTTGGCCTATCGTTACTGGCTGTCACTCTGGGCTCTTGGCCTATTGATTCTTTCAGACATTCATATGTAAAACTTACATTAAAGATGGACCCTGGGCCCTGTCCTACCAGGCAGCCTTGGGAGTGTAGGCGCTCCCCTGTGTATCTGTCTCAGCTCCACACACCGCCTTTTTTCTCTGTTTTCATTGACCTCCTTCCCACCAATTGCACTTCCAATGTGTGCAGTGTGTGTGTGGTGTGTGAGGTATGTGGTGTGTTATGAGGCTTGTGTGTTCCTGATCCTTCCAGGCTGCACCCCGCCCCCCAATCTGCTGTTGGTCCTTTTGCTCATCTTCTGCTCCTTTCATCCCCTCCCTCCTGAAAGTCCAACCAGCCCTTGTGCTGGACACACACACGTACAGACACACACAAGGTCCCTCGTCTTTTTCTCCCATCTCTGTC